TAATTTAGTTTTAAATAGCCACAGGTGGCTGGTACCTACCATACTGTACAGTGCAAATATAGTACACATGTAATTATTATGGATAAATGTAACCTTCACAGAGTGTCAGATTCCTACGAAAAAAGGGCTAACTTTAACTTATAAATATTTTAAACAAAAATATAGTTTTGATTTTCATATTGCAAAAATATGTAAAAAATGTTTTTTGAATTTTCAACATGGATATTTATCTCTTTGTATTATAATAAAAATAATCGCAAGGTCATTGGTGATAAATTAAACTGCTGAAAAATATTTGTGTTTTTTTTTGGCAAACCAATAAAGTGCCCTTTAAAAGATAAGAAGACAACTCATACCCTTAGGCATCAGTTTATCTTTAAATTATCTTATAATTTATCTTTTAATTATGGATTTATACTAAGACATTTTTAGTAATAATTTTATTATAAAAATATCAAATTATATAGCATGGCTATGTTACTATAAGGAATTAGGAGTTAAATAATATTGGTTAAAATTTATTAAATGATTTAAAATTATTTCATTAGTCATGTCTTATTCCTAAACCTTATCTTTGTTTATGTTCATTAATATTATATAGTTCAGAGTCTGTAATGGATAAAAGGAAAACTTTGGGGCAGTTTTGAGAATTTGAATACAAAAATTGAATGATAGTTTGTAATGTATTTGAGAAAGGAATCATCCATACTTTGACATTTTTCTAAATCACCAATGATTTCAAAATTTTTTCTCATTTTAATTTTAATGGAAATGGAAGAAATTTTTTAACTTGTAAAAAAGCCAGCGGTCCCTTTTACCATTTTTTTTTATGGAATAGCAAACATTTCTATTTTGCTTTAGTGCCAGCATAAAGATTGCTACCATAATAATGTTAATGTAATTATAATCTAAGAAAAAAGTAATAGAATTATAACAACCATAATAATAAATACTGAGTTTTAAGATATGTTATGCTAAAATTTGCCATCAGATACAAATTCATTGCTAATGCATGGTTTATTATTGTAATCAAATAATTAGTTAATTGTGATTTACCTGGCTCAGAAATAATGCCCAAAAATAGTTAAATAAAAAATTATAATAAAAAAAACTTGTAAAAATGATGGCTAATATCAAGGTATTGTTTCTTCATTAGCCAAAAGTTATTTTGTATTGTGTGCTAACATTTTTTAATTGAGAATACTTTGAATATTTTTTTCAATCTTTATTAATTTATTTTTGTTACAGATATTTCTCCTCCCCCCCCCAGACATCTTCGTCCCCAGCATCATTTTTATTAATAAAAATGGCTCATCTTCTATTAAAGTTCATGCCATTTATGTAACACTTCCTCTTCAGAGCTCTCTTCAGCAACTTTAGTTACACAGTCCTGGACTTCCTCTCTCCTCTTGACTGCTACTATCATTGAGTGATACTTAATATCTTGACAATAAATTCTTCTATCAATACACTCTTATTTTTTCCAGCGTCTTTCAATGTTAGATTCTCTCTGCTACCATAAACACTATCACCTTTCAGAATAGACACATTTTTTTTATATTGAATTTATTGGGGTGACATTGGTTAATAGGATAACATTGGTTTCAAGTGTACAATTCTACAATACATAATCTGTATATTGCATTGTGTTCCCACCACCCAAAATCAAATCATTTTTCATCACCATATAATTGCCCCCCTTTACCCTTTATTACTTCCCCACCACCTTCTATGAGTTTCAGTTTTTGTTTAATTAATTTATTTATTTTTGTTACAGATGTTTCTCCTTTTTTCCCCACTGATACCCCCCTCCCCATCCCTCCTCACCCTGTCCCCAGCTTTGTTGTCCATGTCCATTGTTCATGCATACATGCATATAAGTTCTGTGGTTTTTATCCCCCCAACCCCCTCTTCTGGGGATCGTCAGTCTGTACCCCACTTCCACATCTCTGGGACTACCCCATTCCTCAGACTGTTATGTTCATTATATTCCACAGATAGGTGAAATTATATAATTCTTGTCTTTCTATGTTTGGATTGTTTCACTTAGTATAATACTCTCCAGGTCCCTCCATGTTGTCCCAAAGAATAAGAGGTCTTTCTTTCTTACAGCTGCATAGTACTCCATTGTGTATATGTAGCACAGCTTTTTTATCCATTTGACTTCTGATGGAAATTTGGGCTGTTTCCAGATCTTAGCTATTGTAAATAGTGCTGCTCGAACATGGGGGTACATATATGCTTTCTGATTGGTGTTTCAGGCTTCTTAGGGTATATTCCTAGAAGTGGGATCACTGGGTAAAATGGAAGTTCAATTTTTTAAAATTTATTTATTTATTTTTGTTACAGATGTTTCTCCTTTTCCCCTCACTGATATCCCCCTCCCCATCCCTCCCCGCCCTTTCCCCAGCTTTGTTGTCCATGTTCATTGTTCATGCATACATACATATAAGTTCTGTCTTTACCCCTCTACCCCCTCTTCTAGGGATTGTCAGTCTGTACCCCACTTCCACATCTCTGGGACTACCCCATTCCTCAGACTGTTATGTTCATTATATTCCACAAATAAGTGAGATCATATGATACTTGTCTTTCTCTGTTTGGCTTCTTTCGCTTAGGATAATACTTTCCAGGTCCCTTCATGTAGTCTCAAAGGATAAGAGATCTTTCTTACAGCTGCGTAGTACTCCATTGTGTATATGTACCACTGCTTTTTTATCCATTCGTCTACTGATGGACACTTGGGCTGTTTCCAGATCTTAGCTATTGTAAATAGTGCTGCTATGAACATGGGGGTACATATATTCATTCTGATTGGTGTTTCAGGCTTCTTAGGGTATATTCTTAGAAGTGGGATCACTGGGTCAAATAGCAGTTCAATTTTTAATTTTTTGAGGTAACACCATAGTGTTTTCCATAGTGGCTGCACCAGTCTGCATTCCCACCAGCAGTGCACTAGAGTCCCCTTTTCTCCACACCCTCGCCAACACTTGTTGTTTGATAATTTGTTGATGGCGGCCATTCTGACAGGTGTGTGGTGATACCTCATTGTCAGAATAGACACATTTTAAAGATCTCAAAGTTTGAAATTGCCCTCTCACAACTGATCCGCTTTTTCCTAATTCTATGGGGCCTTTGCTTTCACTGAATTTTTAATTTATTCTGTAACACCACTATAATCATTTTTTTTTAATTTCTCCTAGTCTCTTACCCTACTAACTCATGGTAATTTCCTCCATGGTGATTATTCCTACTTTGCTTCCCCATTTCTGTTGCCTTGTCTAGATTCCCCAGCCATCCCTTTTACCATTGATTTGCCATCCCTTCTTTTCTGTACTGCACACAACATGTGCTATCTTGACCTAGCCTCTTAGGTTATTAGTTGAGTTTATAAAAGCCAAGTGACTGCTTTCTACTTCTTTCACTTTTATGTAATACATTTAAAATTTCCTAAAATAGCCAGGACATTTCTCCCTTCAAGTCATTGTTCCTTTGTCAATTTTCATGCTCATACAAAACAACATACCTCCTCTTTGACCCAGTAGAATGAGTCAAGCTGACAAACTTTGCCAACTCCCCACCTCTGCACTTCATCTTTCTAAGCTTCTGGAATGTTTCAGTACCTAAAATTCCCAAGTATTTTTTACTGGTATTTAGGTATAAAGATGAATGCTCCTAAGGAGCTCACAGTTCACTGTGGGAAATAAACAAGAAATAGATTAATTATAGAAAGGGATACGGCCTTGGCCGGTTTGGCTCAGCGGTTAGAGCATCGGCCTGTGGTCCAGAGAGACCCGGGTTCGGTTCCCGCTAAGGGCGCGTACCTTGGTTGCAGTTTGTCCCTGGCCCTGGTTGGTTGTGTGGGTGGCAGCCACTCGATGTGTTCCTTTCACGTCGATGTCTCTTTCTCTCTCTCTCTCTCTCTCTTCCTCTCTCTCCCTCCCACTCTATCTGAACAAAAAATGGAAAAAAAGTCCTCGGGTGAGGATAAAAAAAAAAAAAAGAAAGGGATACATATTCATAGAAAAGATAGGAAATACATGTTGTTAGAAAATAAAGGTAAGACTATTTGAATCTCCATGAATTTTCATGAGATAAGATAAGTTAAAGGAATGCTAATGTCTTCTGTGGCTGTATTACATTGTTCAAGGTGCGTGAGCAGGTTTTCATTTGTTTGATTGTCCTTTTACTTTGATGATAGTGAATTAACTGTTTGTACACACATTGCTTTTACTTGACAGGTCATGGGCATTGAGAATGGAAGAAAAACAGTCATTCTCTCAATGAAGCACCAATAGTATCAAAATAATCCTATTTCTTTATTTCATACTTTTTGTTTTGTGGCATGTTGCTCCCTGCCAAAAATTTCGCATCTCTTAGTCACCTTGTATACCTTTCCATAAGAGCCTTTTTTTTTTTTTTTTTACTTTGAAGGCCATCATGTTATTTACTTTTTAGTCACCTATCTTTCCAATATATGTACTAGGAACAGGGGAAATATGTGCTTGAAATCAGAGTACTCTTTACCAAAGGAACTCAGGAGAAGAAACAAGTGCATCAAATTGATGAGCATATGTGTTGTCTTAGCTGATACTTGAGAGCATATTTTGTGTATGGACCTATGTAGAACATAGCCATCAAACTTGGATAGCGGAGATAATGTCAAGAAGGAAAAAGTTTTCATCTTGGATCATTAGATGAATATGACAGATATATTATAAAGATCAACTCAATAGCTTTCTTCCGAACTGAGAAGCTGTAGCCATGAATTACACTTTTGAAATACCTCTCTTCAATGCCGTGATGCATAGTCAGTTACTCTTGGGTCAAAACAAATCATGCCTCTAACCACTTTGTGGTATGACATACTGCCATCACGGCTGCTTTCCTCGGAGAGAATTCATGTGGTTAGATCCCACAATGTTTAAAAGAATGTACATGAAATTGTTTAGATTTATTTTCCAAGAATAATTTAAATTCACTCTCCCTCTCATATTTAGGTTTAAAACATTATTTGTGGCTGGAGAACGATGTGATGTGGAGACCCTGGAATGGTCCAAAAAGGTCTTCAGAGTACCCGTCTTAGACCATTGGTGGCAAACCGGTGAGCATTTTCTAAGCAGGTACATAAATATTGCAGACATGCTCAAAAACACTGCAAGAATTGGAGGAAATTCTCAGGATTCAGGTAGTTCTGATTTCAGTAGAAATGAGCAATTGTTTGATTATACTATTAAAAATGCCTCACAATCGAGATTGATGCCACCATTCTCTTGGTCCCCAGGTGTACAGCACTGAAGACTTCTTTTGCTTCTCTCCCTCTGTATTTCCTATATCCAGTAAGTCACTAAGTCTCTGATTTTTCTTTGAAGTGTCTGTTGCATTCATCCCACCTTCAGTAGCCCCATTGCCTCTGAGCTGTGGAAGCCTCATTATCATCTGCACTGATTTAAATTATTCTCATCACTCATCTGTTCTCTCTGCTTTCCTATGCACCCTGCACACTGCTCCAAGAGTCATTTTTTTTACAAGCGCTGTTTCTCTCATGGGATTTCCGATGGTGCTCTGGCTCCCTTCATATGTTCTATAATATTGAATATTTCTGCCCAGCATTCAAGAAGGAAAAATGTATGTTCTTTTTTATCAACACACACACACTCTCACACATATATATATATATTTATTTATTTATTTATTTGGTTTATTCTCGATTTTCCTTCCACTAAGTGATCCTTGGGAAGCAATTTATCATATTAAGTGGATAGAGTGTAAGCTTTGGGAAAAAGAAAAGACAATCCTTTCTGCTTCTTCTTTTGAAGAACGATTGTGTATATATGTGAAAGTAAGCAGATTGTTTGGAATCTGTTTTCCTCCTCACTGAGAGTAGCTTTGAGCCATGAGAACCTTGTAGTTTTCATGTGTACATGTTTCAGTTCAATTCTACCTAGATCAACACATCTGATAAACCCTTTATACTAGTGTTTTCAGAATTACCATCTTACGAGCAACCAGGGAAGAATATCAAATTTAGCTTTAAAATTTATAAAGTTTATTTGCACAGATTAGGTCTGATTTTAAAAATGTGTATAATGCAGAAGACCAAGTGAATGACTAAAACTGGGATTCAGTGTTTGATATTTTAGAACTCTTTCATTCTGATAAATTATACTTTTTATATTATCTTCTTGGATATCAGTATTTAGAAAAATGTGTTTTTTGTATCCTTTGTAATGTGTAACATAACATAAATGATCAGAGCAGAATACACATTCCTTCAATAAAATGAAAATCAGAAAGAGTTTCTATTCCCTTTAGTTTGATTTGCTAACTAAAGGAGAAATTTCTTACCTAAATTTAGATTTCTAACTATTTAAGAAATAAAAAAAGGATAACTGAATTTGGAGAAAGAGCAACGTTAGGTATAGAAAAACATAAAAACAAGTAAAGAATTGTTGCCTCTGTAAGGAAGAGTATTTATCGAATTGATGCATTCCTGATTTACCAGGAAAGTTCTAACGGTTATTTTCCTAAGCTGAGAGACAGAAACATATTGTCAGCTTCGAGATGTCCTTTCCTGGTCAAATGGAAGTGTTATTTCCAACTGACAGTGACTTTACACAAATGTTTGCAAAGGGTTTTGTTGTTGTTGTTGTTTTTCTCCATAAATTTGACTATGCCAAGCTTTCTAAAGGGAAGCAACACATTAATAAATAAAATTATAATTCTTTTACTTTTTGTTGTCATGTGTGTGTATAACAGGCTGTGCAGATGGATGTAGTTAGTGCATTCAGGCTTACAGGAAAGCTCACTCAAGCCTGAGACACAAGCATATGAAATCCCTGGTGGGTACTGAGTTCCCTGTGAATTCAAAATTTTTCTTTAATGTATTGTTCAGAGGGAATTAATAGCCACATTATGTCAGTGTGCTGTCACTTTAATCAGATTTGAATGGCTGCTCATTACTGTGGAAAACAGAGTGGGTTTCTGCTTACTAATGACTGATTCTTTCCATCCCCCTGCCTCATTCAACTGAACGGCGTTTGATATTGTGTCCAATTAAAGCACACAAATACATGCATATGGATAGGTAGGTAGGTCATTTGCTGGCTAGCTGGGTAGTTTTGTACTTTACAAAATAAATTCATCCAAGGTGATGCAGATGTCAGCTACTAACATAATCTGGTTAGAATCTTTATTTATTTGCACTGGGAAAGAAGTTGTTGTGGTGCATAATTGTGGAGTGATGCTGAAGTTGGCCATCGCGGCTGTTCACCCTTCCTAGAGGTGAAAGAGACAGCAACAGTGTGAAACCACGGGGTGGGGGACACACACACTTGGTGGGTTAGTCTTAAATCTTAGGAAAAAGAAAGAAAAATTCAATATTTCTAGCACACTCATGAATTTCCTAACGTTTTACATATCAAATAGTTGGTGGAACACTTCCCCAAGAGGTGTGCCAATGAAATTGGATAACATTTGAGGGAATGTTAAGCTTTTCACAAAGGAATACTTTATTTCCAATTTCAAGTTTTTTTTAACAAGGTCTCTATCTTGTTATTGACTTAGAAATTGATTTTTTAAATATAATGGCACACTTTCATAAGCCTTCCATACAATGTATAATTTATGAATTGGTCCTCTTATTACATTAATATATATGTACACATGAGCTGTTTAGAAACTGATGTGTAATTGGAATTAGTAAGGGATATATTAAGTAACTAAGCTGTATGAATAAAAATTGATTAGTTCCTGTGACTTGGATTATAAGAAGGCATACCACCATCAATCCATTTTATTACTGTGTTGGTTTTGTTATACATTTCCAGTGACTAACATCCTCTTTTGGCCCATTAATATCAACTTTGATATCTGATTTGAATAATATCTAAGATTCTAAATTGAGAACCAGTCTATGGAAAATTCAAAAGCAGATCAATTCTTCACAGGAGCATTTTAATAAAGAATCATCCCTGTCCAGCACCACTGAAGCATTAGCCCTTGTTCTGGATTGTAATGATGGAAACATTCAATGCTCTCATGAAGGAAATTTGTCTTGCTAAGTGTAGGTAGGTGGGATGTATCTGTTTGATTCATAAACCTGGATGAAAGATGAATTGTTGTCACTCATTCAGATGTTTACCTCCACAGTAACTTATAGATAAGGTGATTGAAAGCATCTGGATTATTGAATGAATTTTTCATTTTGTTTTTTACATAGAGAAGCAGAGATGCTACGATCATAATTTAAAAGGGGGAAATTAAGAGAAGAGATCATTGTTCCATCAAGATATGGCCGTCCATCTGCCAAAAAATAAACAGACAGAGCTTCATTATCCTCAGGTAGACACTGTGCTGTTGTAGATCATTTTCAGTGCTAAGTGCTGCTTTTCCACAAGTCAGACAGGAAGCACAATTTTAGAAAGGAAAAGCTGTCAGTTCAGTGCACAGTGTCCTTCAAAAGAATTGTTTTTTCTTATTTAAGATGACTCTAAAGGAATTGTTTTTCTTATGAGTGAATGACCAAGTGCAAAAAAGGATTAAATTTCAGAAACTAACTACTAAAACTGAAAACATATTAGAATTTATTCTTTTTTAAGGTTTCATGTTTTTCTTCCTTCCTTTCTTCCTCTCTCAATCTCTCTCTCTTCCTTTCTCCCCCTCCCTCCTTCCTTCCCTCCCTCCCTTCCTTTCTTTTTTTTCTACCGATTTATTGTACGACAGGTACTGGTTTAGAAATGATTGTAACAAAACAGTTTGACAGCCACTTTTTAATGTTATTTAATCCTAGGTAGAAACGCTTCATTTATTCACTTGCTATCAGTTAGTTAATCAAAGACAACGGCTACAAAGTGAGAATATTCAAGTTCCATAATGACATTTATAAGGGACAACTTGGTAAATGGTTTAGATCAAAAGAATCCATGATTCTTTCTACCTTCTGGCAGGACATATCTGTGTGATTCCCATGAGAAGATATAAAGCTTATGTTGAAAGTGTTTCCAATGTCCTTGTGACCAGGTAGCGATGAAGTGATTGATCGTTTGTTTTTATTTTTCGATGAAGTAATTGAAATGACCACCAAGTTGAGCAGCACTGGGTGATTTTGTTGTTGGTTTATTTGTTTTGTTTCCATCACTTCAATGGAGGACTAAACTTATTCATAGAATTTTTAAAACCCTGTGTAGGGATTTCAATGAAAAAAACATAGTCACCTAATGGATTGAGACATTGGTGACGATTGAAGTTATTGATCTTACTTTATCTGCCTTGAGCCTTCTTTGCAGTAATCACAGTATTTCTCACCCTGTTTGATTGAACTGCTGCAGTTTTAATTGCAATGGGTAGTTCTGAAATATCTGTATTCTATATATAGCCTAAATCCTCCTCCTGTGAGGAGGAATCTGATAATTTTGGATTTTATTAAGTGGACCCAAAGGCTCCAGCAAATTCAATCATGCCAGTTTTAAATCAAAATCATTGATCCTAGAAGCACACAGATCCTAATACCATGCTATTAAAATGTGTCAAGGTTACTTGACGTGATAATCCTTATTTTTGCAGTTTGGTAAGATATATTTCCTGAGAAGGGATAACTGGGACAATAATTGTGAACTCAAAAATTGGTTGGGATGGCTCAATTTAGTCCTCATCCTTTGGTTTTTCTGTAAAAATCCATTAGCAAGGAATTTTTTAAGAGACAACAATAGATTTTATTTACTATAATCAAAACCACAAAATGGAATAAGTAACCAAAGTTGAATAATAATTGTCCTATGCAGAGATCTCTACTGGAAATGGAACAGACTCAAATATAGTACTGCCTCATTCCACCCTAAGTAGACTAATTGAGAATACTTCACCAGGATTTGAATATTTGATAGCTAGGGTATCAATGTTTAAGCTGCTATTTTTTTTCCTGAATCATTCTTTTCCTTTGTTACCCTTCCATTCTCTGACATTCCACTTTGGGGCATCTCAGTTGATATACTTATTGCAGAAAGGTTTCAATCTGTCAGTCTATAGTTCTAAGTTTCATCTATAATAGGGAATGTTTTTCATCCCTGATATTCAACATTGGAAGCTTTAACACACTCGTTACTT